GATTGAGGGTGCATGTTTCTGCGTGTCTGTGTGTGTGTGTGTTAAGATTTCAGATTCGAAGGTGATCTCTGCACAATCCGCTCAAGCCCTACTAAAATCCGAACCTTGGATCTGACTTTCCCAGGCCGCCCAGATGGGCATCGTGTGCGGTAGCTTCAGTCCCCTAGGCCTCGAGGTGTTCCTTGAGCGTTTTTTCTTTGTGACTATTATGAACATCAGCGGCTATTTAGAAAGCGTTCAATGTTTGGCTGGCAGAGGGCTTAGTTAGAGAATCCCTGAAGCCACAGTACACCATATGACAACTTAAATTCCGAAGATGAATTCAACCCAAGAAAGTCCTGAAGCCTTCTGAGTCTCCAACAGTACTGAATGTGGATGAGTTTGCGCAAAGCCCTCAATATACCTTCAGTGAAGAAGCATGTGGTTGTAAATATACATAGCCCCAAGCCCTTGCCGGAATGAAAGTACACGCATAAGTATAAGTACACATGTGACACATATGCTTTTGCATTTAATTATTACACATGCACACAGGTACTTGTACATCAGCACATGCTATGTAGATGGATGCATGGATGGATGGATGGATGGATGGATGGATGGATGGATGTCTCTCGAGTGCGAGTGCCAAAACAATGTTCTTCTATATCTACATGTGACTGTAGTTTTGAGTTTCTACATCCACGGCAAGCCAAACAGACACGTCAGGTCGAGGTCGGTCTCACAGCCTGGCTTGGCACTTACACAAAGCCGGTTTTCTGTTTGTTTGTTCTGGGGCATGGGTTTTGTGGGTTTAGTTTAGGGCTTCTGGGTATAATTGGCTGTTTAAGGATTCCTTCTAGGTGCTTGCTCTAAGGGTCTAGGGGTTTAACTTGTTGGGGTGTTGTGATGCGCATTGAATGTTTCGAGCTCCAGGTTGGGATCTACAGGGTCTTTCGGAGTTCAGGGCATTTTAGATTTTACATGTCAAGCCTTCCTTAGTTTGTTGTGCGGCTCCAAGATGCTAAAAAGTTAATGTTGTAGGCTTGAGGGACTTCGGTTCCTGGGCTTGAACTTTCACGGCATTTGGGGGGGGGGGGGGGGAGGGGCAGATAGGAAGTTAGGGCTGCATGGTTTTACTTGGTGGTTAGGTGTCTTCGTAGCTCGAACACACGAGATTAGAGACCAACCATACTGTCAGATATCCCGAACCCCAGACACTATGAGGCTGTACAGCTGCGATCTTGCTTGAAAAGGGGCCCGTAAACAACCAGCAATGTAAAACGCTGTAAGCCCCGAACTCTATCCAGACATGGTGGCATTGAAGCATTGGTCCAAACACTACAGGCCATCATCGTCCAGGAACGTCAATGAGTTGTCATTGTTTTGGTCTCTTCTGAGGTCTGAGCCGCGCAGCAAGCGAGCAACTGGGAAGAAGGTCTTCCCTTTCGTTTTTTCGGGTTTACTGCTTCCAGCTTACGGTTTGGGGTTGCTTTGATCCAATTGGGAGTTTCGGAAAATGGGGGACCCTAATAAAGCACCCTTATTCGCAGGATCCTTATTATAAGGACCCCAGAATAAGGATCCCCTAATTTCGGAAACCCCGAAATCTTCTGCTGTAAGACTTGACACCGAAAACATCCGGGGCCCGGGGTTCCCGCAATTCCCGAAGTCGATTCTGAGTCCAGGTTTTTGGGAGCTTGAAGCTATTTGGGTGTAGGTTTTGGGTTCTGTAGTTTAGGGTTTGGCGCTGGGGGGTAGCATTGAGGCGTTGGCTTATGAGGTGCTCGGCACCTGTAAGTTTTCTTGTTGTTGTTTGTCAGGGGGTGGTGTGTGCATGTCTTCTTTGCCGAACGCCTTGACAGTCCAAGCACTGAGCAGATTGAACCCAAGCACACACGCAGATTGCCATGTATAAGATGTCAAAGTTGTACTTGACACTCCAGCTCAAAGCAGGATGTGTAGTAGTCTGAATCAGGGATCGTTCCTGCCACGCTTGACGCAACCAGGTAATTAGACCTCTGATTCATAAGCCCCGTTTCAGGGCACTGTATCGGGGTTCTGATGTAGGGCTGTTAGTAAAAGGGTCTTTATTCATCGAAGGACTTCATGTCTGTGGATCCCAGGCATTACTTGCAATTGGGCACTTGGACCTTCGTCCAGCATGAGTCTGCCCGATAACACTAAGATGGTTGGGCTTCAGGGAGGGCTTAAGAGCGAAGCCGACACTCCCTGAGCCCCAAACCCGAAAACATATTGTTGCGATCCATATTCCCAAGTGCGTGATTCTCACCCTAAACGGGTGGGTTTTTATTCCACGTGCCCGTAGGGACAGGGTTTTCCCACTCTTGCTTGTACACTTCCGCATCTAAAGCCTGTGTCAAGATTCACAATAAAATGCTCTTTAGGAAGATACCTGAAAGGTTTCGACGATTCCGTATACACTTCTTCCACGGAGAAGAGATGAGAGCCCCGCCCCCGACTCGTCGGCCACTATCCCTAAGGCTCCATGCAGCTGGTGCTTTTATAAGGCCTTAGTATATACCACGTAGGTACATGGCACTCTGAGTCCGCAGGAGAACGTCCCTGGGAGCGCGGGCTCGGGACCTTTGGCTGGCATTGGAACGCAGACAGTGGTGGACGGATTCCTTACATCAGTTTTAAAAGTCTGAATGTATGTAGGGAGGACAGATTTCTTAAGTTGGTTTTAAAAGTCTGAATGTGAGGGTGGACGGATTGTGCAGAAGAGGTTCAATAGTCCGAATGCGGATGTGGACGGATTTCTCATACAAGTACGAACGTATGTCTTCTTCTATAAGGCTCCATAGAGTCATGGAGTTAAGACTGTCTTTTGCAAGTTCGCTGTGAGGACTTGCCTGGGTTCAATTGGTTTGTACCATTTGTGGGATACATGGTTAATTTTGCTGAGGGAACCCAAGACCAGGGCAAGGGCCATAGGGCTAGGGCCAAGAGTTGCCGGCTTTGGGGCTCTCGGCCACCCTTTTCCCGTCCAAGACAGGATGCAAGGGTTTTCCTGGAGCTACAGAAGCCCAGTTTCTCCCTGCGATTGTGTTGTCAGCCGGATACAACCCCTGCCTAAACCCCAAATAACATACCTTGTTGAGGACTCAAAAAGGAAATCACAGTAGGGGGCTCTAAAAAGGTAGGTTCCTTAGGGTCCAGGTAAGCCCCGAAGCCGAACCTTGCGGATGCCTTTTGGGAGGCTTGAGATCCTCTGCCTCGAAGCCACATGTCCCCAAACAGATATACTGTGAAACGCACATCGCTGGAGGCCATTTTCACCCTGCAGGGTCTCGAGGAGGAGGAGGCCTACAAAGCTGCATAGAGTTTCACACGATCTTTTGCATAAGGCCTTGTCAGGAGATATACATGGAAATTGCAATAGTGCACTGTGACAGTGAGCTGTGTAGGTAACTGGTCTTCTAGGGTTGTGTTGCAGCTTCGGACTTGCAATCGTCAGTGATACAGATAAAGCTTTTGGAATGGGGCATGACGATTCCCATTTTAGGGGGTCTGGGTTTCCGACTTCTAGGCCCAGGCATAAAACCCGCGAGGCCCGGGCCCAGGCTCTGAACCTGAAAAAGCGAGAAAAGCGAAGAGCTACAAGCCCACACCCCCCGTGTGAACCCTAAAACCTAAGCCGAGATTACCTGCAACTCGGGCTTCGTCCTTGCTCGCGTAGGAGGGAAAAAACCCATCATCATGTACCACTGGTGTCCGTCTTCAGGTAGAGTCGAGCGAGACCCTCCAGCGAAGGAGGCTTGTCCGGACTTCACCCAACATGCGAACCTAGACCCAGGCATCGCACAACACTGGGTGCAGCGATCCAAGTTTCCCACTAGCATCCGACATCCGTTGTAGACCTTTCCCCTGAGGTATGAATACAACTGCGTGAGTTTACTAAACTCATAGACATACCTATAGGCATAAAGTCAGATCCCTGGGACCCTTTCGGGGGATCCTTTAAAGAAGACTTCAGGGAACCCTAAATCTAAAGACTTGAGGAGTCCTTAAGCCTTAAATCCTAGACCTTCGCAGAACCCTTCAAGGAATGCTTCAAACCTCTAAATGCCTCGAGGAGTTGGCCGCCGATGAAAGGCTCTGACAGCCTTGGCAGTCTTTCAGGCCTCTTACGCGTTCAGGGGTTTAGGTCTGGGGCGGTTTCGGAATGCCGGGCTTCCGGCTTTAGTTTATTTGTTTTGGTTTAGGCTGCGGAAGCGGATTCTAAGGAGGTCATGAGGGCTCTGCAATAATGTGTTAAACTGTGAGTCCGAAATTAAGAAGGCGTTTCGGGCTTTGTGAGGGGAACGGGCCGAGGATTTATGGCTTGTCGGCTTCAGGATCTTCGTTGAGGCGCCTCGGCATCCCAGAGCTGAAAGCACTAGGCCTTAAACATCGGCAACAAAACTTACCGCGTATAAGCCTCAACCGCAACACACAACAACAGATTTACACACACACACACAAACCCCACTGCAACAATCCCAAGGCTGAACTTATGTACGGCTCTATTATTGGCGAATCCTGTTCTCCACTCCTAAGCCTGTGCCCTCTACCCTACCCGGAGCCCCCAAACATCTAGAAGGGTTTAGGATTCTGGGTTGTGAGTCGTGAGGTCTAAGAGAACAAAGTCCGAAAGGTTCAGGATTTGGCTGGTAAGATCAAACTAGTCCAAAACTTCCTTTCAAAACATCTTAAACCTAAGCCAGGTGCTGGAGGCCTTGAGCCGCTGGGAGAAGCACCCCGGCTTTCTTTGACGAGCCTGGCATCAGGCTGGGCTATGGGTTAAGATTGTTTCGACTCCGTGGGTGGAAGAGCGAAGGCTAGGTCCTTCAGCTGAAGTCTGCGAGCTCCTGAATAGGACTAGCAGTGAATACTATGCTTGTCTCGGACGAACAAAAAGCCCAAGCTTGATCTGCATCCATGAGGGCTGCGCAAGTGTTCTGGCCATGGCGACTTCGGCTGCCGGTTTTGTGCATCAGTTGTTTGATGGTCTGCCTATGGGAGTTTCCGCGGCCTTGGTGTCGATCCGATCCTGCCATGGCCACGTTTGTTTTTGGGGTCATGATGCTAGGAGCAAGAGGACAGGAACTAAGTTCATGGCCGTACAGCCAGTACTTGCCTCTTCTGTGCCTTTGGGTCGATGGTGTGTGCAAAAGAGGCCAGCAGAGCGAGCCTGTCAGCCACTGTGCTGTGCTACCAACCAGTACCGCGGAGTTTACTGGTTGCCGCGAATCCAGAAGTTTTCGGTTAAGGTGGGGATCAAAGGCAACGTGCACTATGCCGGCGTCTTTGCGAATGCGACTGAGGGAGCCTATGCCTTTGATGAAACGTTGCGCGCGAACTGTAGAGATCCCATCCGCTTGAAGCAATCCTTGAACTTTCCGACGGAGCAAGAGGCATCGTACGAAGAAAGCTTGTCGGACCGGCGTTCGCGGTGCCTGAAACAGTATTCGAACTCTGCTAAGGGTGTGGAGTCACTCCTACGTTTCCAGCATCGCTTCTCGAAATCTCCACAGGCGTCAGAGTTTGAGATTGTTAACATCCCCTCCCAGTCGCGAGTTGACGCGGTGTTGCAGGCCCGGGGGTCGAAGAGTGGAGGCTTGGCCCTTCAGCTCAAGTCCTCGACCTGCCACAACAGGCAGAGTTCTGAATTGTATGTTTTTGGAAATACACAGGGCTACAACGGCATGCTGCTGGTTCTGATCGCTCTGGACCGTGACATCGTTTGGATGGTTCCCGGAAGCGAGGTGTCACAGAGAACTCTGCAGATCCGTGTCGGCTCGCAACGGGACAAGGCATGGCGAGTGAGCCACATAGGGATTGTGCTGCAGCAGTACTTCACGGCTGGCAGAGTGTCACACATGGCATTGCAGGATGCGCTCCTGCAATGTGGTGATAATCACATTACGGAAGAACATTCTCATGCCCAGCTTGTTTCGGCATTTGCATCAGTGCAGCATCGGCTTCATCGACCGATTAGCTTGACAGCTGTTGTGGATTCCGTGCTCAGCGGGCAAGGTCATCAGTGGCGCATCCAGGAGAAGGCAGCGCATCTGTCCGCGGATGGTAAATACTGGGCAGGCCTCAGGAAGCGTGGCGGCTGCCTGGGCCCGCTTGCCTATGCCAAGACAGACTTTGACATCCTCATAGTCTCGCTTCTGGACGGTTCAGATCGTTTGACGGGATTCTTTCTTTTATCGAGCGTTGTTCTGGCCCGACGCAGGCTGATAGGGCACAGAGGGCTGCGTCTGAGACTTTACCCTCCATGGGCACAGCCAAAATTCCCAGCGGTGGCAAGGAAACATAGCTGGCAGTCAGATCACTTCGTGGATCTGCGGAGTTGGAACGGAAAAGGCAGCGATCTGGATCCTGGCACCAAAGCTAACTTGACCGAGCTGCTTGAAAAGCTCGACGAGCCTGCTGGGCAGAAAGGCAGCTGTCAAAGAGGAAGAGATGATGACGATATTGTATAAATGCCTGGGGAAGCACGCGTGCAAAACCGATTGCAAGATACATCACGCATCCCACTTGATGTAAATCAGCTACCAAGATTAAACACTTCTAGTACACAAGTTTCGGTACATGTAAGTGGTAGCCTTCTTGCGGTGATGTTGCCGTCGCACCTGTAGGGTGAATGTGGTTCACGGCTACGGTCGAAGGCTCGTTAAATGTAATGTTTCGACTTTCTGGTTTCTGGCTTGAGTAGAATGTAGGGGTGATGTGGTGCGTGGAGGTGCAGGTCAGGAGCAATAACGGCACTCATGGCCCAAATCCGAAGCCATGGCAAACCTATAAGAAGGACCCTAAACGAATGACCCACTCTCTTTGTCCATGGCACCAAAAGCAGCAAGAAAGGATACTCGTGACTTGTCATTACACCCCGAAACACAAAGCTCCATGTACTGGACCCTAAAACCCTGACAAAATCCTATAATTCATTTTCTAGTTTGAAGAAATGGGATGTACATTGCCCTTATAAACCCTAACCCAAATATTAAGGCTTCGCAGTCGAACGTTTTTCTGGCTAGTTCTTTACGTTAGGGTTTCTTTTTGGCCCCTCGCAATAGTACGGCATCCTGAAGGACCCAAACAAGGGGACCCTAATTTAGAGAAGCCCTATATAGACCCATAAATTAAAGATCCGTTTAAGGAGCCCCAAAAAGGGGATCCTACTTCAGAGATCTACCCAGACGGTTCCGACCTGAAGGCAGCTCGGAGTTCGGCGAGGACCTACCCGAGGCTCCTCAGACCGCTGGTTCAGGGCTTTCAAGGGCTTTAGGACAGTGGGTTTTTAAGGGGTTGTAGGGTTTACCGTAGGATTTTAAGGGTTTAGGGTTGGAGTAAGGTTTCATGGTTTCGGCCCAACCCAAAATGTGCTAAAAGGCCACGTTGGCCAAGCTAATAAAGTTCCTGTTGATCAGATATCTGGCAATGGTTCACTGTTGGGTTGTGCTTGGCAGCGCAATGAGTCTGTGACTGGGTTTGGGATGTGAGGACATGCGCAAGCTTCAGAGCATGCATGCTACCAGAACGGTGGAAGCGAGGTGCACCGAATGTTCCAACAGCATGGCATGTCTTCCGTGCGGACAAAATTAAGCATAGCGAAACTGATTATTCAGCAAGTCTATTTCTGAGGGAGAGAGAGAGAGAGAGAGAGAGAGAGAGAGAGAGAGAGAGAGAGAGAGAGAGAGAGAGAGAGAGAGAGAGAGAAACCTGCTCATGACCTCACGGAACCCGCCTTAACGATAGGAAAGCATCTACAACAGAAGCCACCCAATCCAGGGATTCGGTGACTGTATCACACGAGCAGTGAGGCCTCTTCCCAAGTTTCCCATATGTTGAGGTGCTATCTTGCGTTTTCACATTGGAAGATTATTTTGGTAGTTTTCTGGTTTGTGCCTGTGTTGCGTTGCGCGTGTGTGTGTGTGTGTGTGTGTGTGTGTGTGTGTGTGTTTTGGTTTTCGGCGGGAACACTAGGCTATACCCCACAACCACAACCCCAGTCCAATTATTCAGGCCATTATGGTAGGTAGCTTTCCCAATGAGGTTTGGTGCACTGTTAAACGAATTCGCAGCTTCACCCGATACACCAGAATAAAGGGTCTGTAGGGTTTGCAGGGTTTAGTAAACAGAAAACCTGACAGCCTGAGCCCGAAGCACGCAAGCCCCAAACCCAGCATTGCGTTGGATCCCCACGGAATGCCCTCAGCGAAATGCGGATCTCTTTAGGACTTTTATTTAGGCTTTATTCCTGTTTGGAAGATTGAAAAAACGGCGGTGTCATTCCAAGGTCTATACAGGGGTTTAGGATCCAGGGCCTAGGGTGGCTACGGCAGGCGAAGCAGTCGCAGAGTACATCGTGGCATTTTCGTTCCGTCGTGTCGAGTCTCACAAATTTCCAGTATTGTAATATATTCTAGCTTATGAGTATATGATAGTATATTCTGGTATATTGTGGATACCAGCTCTAAACTTAAAGCTGAGGCTCCCAGAATGTCCAAGTCGTTCTTCCTTTCGAAAGTGTCCGCGAATGTGGGGTTTGCGTACGATATATCGGATTTTCGGTGGCTTAAATTTCGAGCCTAAAACCCCGACGGAATGCTAAAGGCCTACAGTCCAATGCTCAGCACACTCGAATAAGCATTGCGACTCCGCAGCTTCGGGATCGCAGGCTGTTGACACGACGGACCTTGCCACGCAGCCGGAGGACCTCGCGAGTCAGGCCGGGCCCTGGTTGAGGGTCCGGGTCCCATGCTACACAATGTCATTCCTTATTATTCCTTGCAAAGGCCCTTAGAGTAGAAGCCTGAAAAAAGACTAAAAAGTTGGGGCTCCTCAAGGGTTCCCCAATGCGTGGCTATAGCTTATCACACCGCCCCAAACCCTAATCTCATCATCGACGCCATTATGTTGTCCTTTAAACGCCCTTCTGGAACCAAACCTAATCCCGGACCTAAACCCTAAGCCGCCCTAAACTCTAAACCCCCCTAAACCCCAAATCTTAAATCCTTCTAAGGGTCTCGGAAGGTCTCTCACACAAAGCCAAGTCCGGTACTTCGCGGCCTTGGCGGCATCTTGGCCGTGGCGGCTGGGGTGTGCCGCCGGGCCACACATAGAAGCCTGCAAATTAGGAGCTTTAGCGTTTAGCATGGGGTTTAGGGTCTGTTCATGGCTTAGGGGTTTTAGGTCGAGGCCCGAAACCATGCCCCTTTTTGCACCTGCACCTGTTCACATGCCAGGAACCTAAGCCATGGCTCTAAACCCTATAAGTTTCACGGTAGGGCTGGTATATAAGAACTGTATAATTACACGGTTACTGTTGGGGGATGCCCAAGAATGCGCCCAAAAAGAGAGCTCAAAGTGCTATGTAATCCGGAAACGAAAAGTCATAGGGAGGCCCGAAAAAAAGACCCCTCGCTCTTGTTTGGGGAGCCGCCCCTATAAATGTCAGAGGTAAAACCGCATCGAGGGCCCAGGTCCTACGTGGAGGTGAAGCTTTCAGCTGACTTTACATGGGAGTTTCCGACAATCGGGACCCTAATATAGTACCCTAAATAGTAGGGTCCTTACTAAAAGGACCCCTAAATAAGGTAGCCGTAATTTTCGAGCCTGCAGTCGTAAGAAATGGCGACATAACAACCACATAATTACACTGGCAACCCCGCTCAGTTCCTTCCCCACTGCTGGTACACTAGGCCCCAACCCAAATAAACATACTCGAACCTCTACGAACCTCAAGCCCAATGATGAAGAAATTGATCGCTGGTGCTGGGTGCTCGAATCTGCTCCCCGAAAGTTCGGTATTGTTGGCATTTGGAGTTTAAGGTTCACGGCGTTTTTTTCAGGTTTGCAGAGTACACTTACGCTTCGTAAGTCCTTGTAGACCGGATCATGCTTTGCCAGGCTTGCGTCTGCTGCTTTCCACGCTGAGCCTAACCTTATCCTCTGCACCCGAAGCCCTTCATACCCGGCACCCCATACCGGAATGCGAAACCCTAGCAAAACCTACACCCTGCCCTACACCCCCAGTCTTCTGCCGACATGGCCAGCAGAGGTCGTGGCCTGAGCCCTGTGCGACAGCCTCAGACGGAGCCAAGGCTATTCGGTTCCCCAGCAGTATCCTTTTGCCCTTCTTCTGATTTCGGGTTGCCTCATCAAAACCAAACACAAGTAGCAGGAAGAAGGGTGCCCTGAATATCCAGGAGCTATTTACCGGGGAGCCGATGCTAGCAGGAGAGGGCTGCACAATGTACCACGCACTCCGGCACGAAGGCCATGTGGAACCTTCCACAGGAGCCGCAATACATCTTTCATTTACAAGAATGACAAGTAGTATTCCTGTTTTTTGATATCTTCGTGTCTTACGGGTATAGGTACTAGAAGAAGTAGTACTATAGAAATAGCAGCAGCAGCAGCAGCAGCAACAGCAGCAGCAGCATGATCAGGAGTAAGAATCCGAGTCTACCTCTACAGATCTAGTGTTCCATCTACAGCGTCAAGGTTCAACTTTGCAATGCGCGAGACACTGAACCCCTCGACTCCAGGACCTCTATCAGTCGCAGGAACCCCAAACCCCAAAACCAGAGACCTTTCAAAACTAAGCTCTGCACCCGACGCTTCTGTTCTACTGTCTCAGAGATTCCGAGCAGAGAAGGCTGATTTTTGTTGGGTCTGCCCTGTGGTTCTGGAATCCCAGCCATCCCGAACCCTCAATCCTAAGCCGATGATAATACCAATACTAGGACTAGTGATCGTAATCATAGTAATACTACGAATGTTCAAAGCCCCCAAAAAAAACCCTCCGCCCCTCAGCGTTTACAGTCGACTTTAGAGATAGGGCTTGCAGTCTTCACTCTCTGCAACTCCCGAGACCTGTAAGCTTTGAACTCAATTCCGAGGCCTTTTGCGATGTGGCACCGCAACCATCCCAACACCCAGGCCTGTGCACAGGGGTTTTGTAGGGTTTTAGAAATATTCTGTTTTTGTGTTCCCACGCTCACGCTCTGTCAGGGTGCCACAGTTGAAATTCCTCCCCAAAATATCTTCTGTCGTTACCCTCGACGCTTCGCGCAGCCTTCTGTGCACAGTCTGCCTGCTTCGTCTTCCCCATGGCCCTGGGTGCGGCGACCTCAGCACTTGTTTGCTTTTTTAATGTTCGCTTGGGCAGTGTTTCCCCAGGGTTCAAGACTGGATGTCTTGGGCTCTTGTAGGGTTCGCGAGTGTTTCTTGATAGCATCATACAGGTTTTTCAGGGTTCTTCAGACAGAGGTACGGCGGGTCGGGTAGGGTGTGGGGTCTGGTCTAGGGCTTAGTGATCTTGACAATATGATAAGAACGCTCAGTTCATATGATATGATCCTTGATATTCTCCCGCACCACCCCACACCCGAAGCCCTGACAGGACTACCTTTAGATTGTCCCTCATAGTCCTGGGTAATGCCTGTGCAAAATTTTGTAGGTGGATCCTAAATCT